TATGAAATATAGAAAGTATTTCTCAGTTTATTGCAAGTTGTTTAAGAAAACCAAAATCTACTTGCATTGATGGCTGGGTATGTTTTGTAAGCAGGATACAGATATGTTTAACTGCGGCAACGTCTGATTTATTTGTAAAATTTTCAAGTTTATAACAAGTTTTTTTTATATTATAATAATATCTATCTATCTATCTATCTATCTATCTATCTATCTATTGCTATCTATCTATCTATCTATCTATCTATCTATCTATCTATCTATCTATCTATCTATCTCTATCTATCTATTGCTATCTATCTATCTATCTATCTATCTATCTATCTATCTATCTATCTATCTATCTATCTATCTATCTATCTCTCTATCTATCTATCTATCTATCTATCTATCTATCTATCTATCTATCTATCTATCTATCTATCTATCTATCTATCTCATGAACAAGGTCCTCTGGCACCCAAAGTGAAAATTGCAAAGTTTGCTACCCACCTTGAGCTAAGACAGATTGTGCTTGCACATACAGGGTTATTTTTTACTAAAGCTGGAGAGTACAAAATTAGGTGCACTTCTGCATAGACACCAGTCAGCTTCCAGGTTTTATTGCCAAAGCTTAATCAAACAAGCAGAGGTTAGACATTGGTAGGTTTCTATGCAGAAGTGAGGCTGGTTTTGCACTCTCCAGCTTTAGTAAATAAACACCATTGTGTCACCAGCATTAACACAACTGTTATTGTTTTTGTGAGTATCTTTTGTAACATAGTTTTTTTTACCTATTGATCATGTCAGTATTTTCATTATTTTTCCACTTCCTATAACAGCCCAAGCTGTTCAGCAAAAATGACAGCAACAGGTTTGGGAAGAAACCATAATACACTGGTGGTGGTGTGACAGACCCAACCAGGACAGGGGCTTTTGGAGGGGACTAGACTTCTATCCACTGAGATTTTAACCTCTTTTAACCTCATACAGGGCACGTTTACCTCCATCCTGCCCAGGCCATTTTTCAGCTTTCAGCGCTCTCACACTTTGAATGACAATTGCGCTGTCATGCAACATTGTACCTAAACTATTTTATCATTTTCTTCACACAACTAGAGCTTTCTTTTGGTGGTATTTAATCAACACTGGGATTTTTATTTTTTGCTAAATTAACAAAAAAAGACCGCAAATTTTGAAAACAAAACACATTTTTCTTTGTTTCTGTTATAAAAGTTTGCAAATAAATAATTGTTCTTCTTAAATTTAGGCCAAGATGTATTCTGCTACATGTCTTTGGTGAAAATAACCCAAATTAGGATGTATTATTTAGTCTGTAGGAAAGTTATAGAGTTCACAAACTATGGGATATAGATCTGAATATTGATCAATCCTGACGGCCAATCTAATTTCTTGAGGTCCAAGAATGTCAGAACAGTACAGATATCCCCCAAATGAGCCCTTTTTTCAGAGTAGACAGTCCGACGTACTTCATAAGAGGCATGGCGAGTTTTTTGAAGTTGTATTTTTTTTTTGTCATAATTTTTCGGAAAATGAAAAAATGAAAAAAATTATTTTCACTATTTTTTTTTTACATACTGTCACCAGTGCAGTGCAGCGTCATCATATAACTGGCATGGCGGTGATCAGGGACACTGACTGGTGACAGTATGAAAAAAAATATAATTTTTTAAAACATTTTTTAAAAAAAAATTTATTTTTAATTAAATTTTTTTTTTTTTTTTAAGATTTGTTTTTCATATTTCACTATGACCAAAGTAGTACCATGTTAACATAGTAACATGGTACTACTTTGGGGAAGTGATCAGAATTTTTTTTTTACACAATTTGCTTATAGCAAAGAATTACTTTGCTATAAGCAAGCATTTACCTGAATGACATCGATTCATTCAGGGTTTTTTTTTTTGTTGTGCTTAGCTGTGATTTGGCCATTGCTAATCACATGACACAGCTGGGCTGTGATTGGCCCAGCTTGTGCATGTGATCGCTGTGACCATTCATAGCTAGGCACACTAGTATACAATGGATGGCATGAATGAAGCCATCCATTGTATACAACTGTCATGTGACCCGGTGTGATTGGTCACAGCAGGTCACATGGTATCGGCAACGGGGCCGGTACTCAGATCTGTTATCGGCCGTGTCTGAGGTACACAGCCGGTGACAGATCGCGCCGCTGCGCAGCTCTGCAGGTGCGCAAACTGCGCATGCCCCAAAGGACGCCATATGGCGTCCACCCGGAATGCTGAGTGATTTTTCCGGCCACCAATCGGCCATTGGCCGGGTGGCAAAAGGTTAAGTTGATTGGCCACCATGCACAGCTGTACCAAAACCTACCCCACAGCGAATGGATCAGAGCAGGACAGAGATATCAATTGCTCTCCACCTACCCTAGCACAAACTTTTGGTCCATGGAAAACCAAACAGGATGGGGTATTTAGGGTTACCAAAGGTTAATATGGAGTTAAGTAGGAATGAATTCAGAACAGAATAGTATTTTGGTCTTGTAGCATTCATCTGTATTGGGTGTGATGCAAATAGGATATCACTGTTAGCGACAATAACCTTCTATAAAGTGAATTTTTTAAGTTACCAAAGTATGTTTTACTGTATTGAATATATATATATATATATTTAAAAATTAAAATCATTAAAAGAGACATTTGTTGTTTTTCCCCAAATTTTACTTACCTAGGTAGATGCAGCATCGTGCATCTGTCCCCTACCTGCTGTAAGTGTGAGAACTTAGCAATCACATGACTGCTGATCGCTGAGTTCTCCCACTGTGAACAGAGAGCTGTCTGCTCTGCAGCCCTCCTGCTCTCACTGGAGTGTTGGGCTGTGGAGGGGGAGGGAGGGAGTGGCTGGCTCAGGCTCTCAGTAGCTCATTGAGAGTCTGAGCCGGGTGCTGCTCCTGACTCTGGGGTGAATCCCAACTTTAAAGTCGGAATCTTTCCCCATCCTGGACTAGCTGAGTGACTTCAGCTGATGGCAGGCTTCAGCCCGCTGTCAGCTGAAAATGGGTCACAGGAGAAGGAGAAGTATGCATCCTCACCTACAATGCATGACTCCTGGTCCTGAATTGTATATGATGATATCAGAGTGTCTGCACTTGGCAGCATTCTGAAGGAAAGCAGCTTTTGGGAAATGATTGCACGGAGAGGAGGAAGCCTGCAAAAGTGTGGAATAAGTTCAATAAAACTGCTTTTAAATATACCCTAGACAAAAAGGAAAGTTTTGAATTTTTGCTGAAGTTCAGCTTTAAATAGCACTGACATAACAGTCAGAGCTTTATAGTACAGTAAAATATGTAGACCTGTTTCCATCAGTACTTTCCCTTCAAGAAGTTTACCACTTAATATTTTCTTCACTTGTATAAACTTTAGAGCTAGATATGAAGAAAAAATGCACACACAAAAATGGCGAGAATATATCATACAGTATTTAAACCTAGAGCTTTAAGGCAAGGCTGCTAACCAGTTTTCTGGCCCATAGTTGTCATGTTTGTTAACATTATACAGTACGTCTTCTGCATGTGTATAGCAACTTTTGTATGAATACATCACAAGAATCATTATGTTCTGTGCAATGCATTTTGTTTATGTACTTATACAGATATACATTATTCTAAACCTGTTTCATGTTATCACTGTCAGCTGCTTCTGCAAGTTTCTCAGAACAAAACACTGGTTTTTTTTTCTTATTTTCTTTTTTTGTAAAAAAGTCAGCCATGTGGTTATGATTTGGAATTGTCAAGTTTTTTTTCTGTAAAAAAAAAAAAAAGCTGTACCTTTTTCTTTGGCCAAGACGCTAGCTGCAGACACATCAAAGAGTGTATACATTGGATCAAGGTGTTTTTTTTTTCTGGTCACATCACTGCCAGCTGTGGTGTTTATGATTAGAGTCAGTGTTTTCCAGACACCTCAGAGTCCTCTCCTAGATGCTGATCTATAACTGGATCCATCAATGGGGAGTGACAATAAGCAGACAGTCTAAGGGAGGGAGCATGATTCCAACAGGAAAGGCCTAAACTGAGCAAACAGAGAATACTTATGAGACAACTAAATATCTTTTTATTACATTAAGAGTCTTCACTAGCCTAGGCCTTTGTTTAATATAAAACAGCATGTTCATAGACATCCATATCACGAAAATGTTTCCAAGTGAACTTTAACATAGAAGAAGGTAGAATTGATAAGAGACTGTTAATACTTTTTTATCCATTTGTATCCATTTTTTATCTGTTGTTATCAGAATCAAATGCATTGGTCCATGTTATAACATGGACCACCCCAGAAGCCACCACAGCACACTTCCAAACAGAAGTTCCCATTAAACAGATAATAAGTCTCATAAATTTCTCTGAAAAAAGAATGTGGTGATCTTCCTATTGTGTACATGCTTGATTCAGGGTAGAGGTATATGCTTTTAGTGGGGATTATAAAATAAATGCGAACATCTGAATAGTTGCTAAACAGTATCTTATTATTTTTCTCACTTGATTCAGTTTTCAAAGAAGTCAGCTTTATATGTTCTAATGCAATGTCTCTGAAGATAGCCCAACACATAGCATTCATCCACACCACACAAAAACACATGTTTGGGGTACGTGACCCAAAAGGGCTCATATTTATAGGTTTAAAAAGCTATTGTTAATCCTTGTCAATGTATTTATATAGCTCTAACAAGTGTTTTTAAATGTCTTGGGCTAGAAAAATCACAGGTAATGCAGAAGAAACACCTTGTGGTATTTATTCAGTGTGCTCCTTGTCTTGCAGCATCAGTGCTGGTTTTAGCAGGCATTTTCATCAAAGTGATGCTGCCAGTCTAGTAAGTATTTGTGTATACACACGGATGCTTACATTATAAATATTGACACATGAGTTTTTTGAACTGTGCTGGGACTCAACCAGTTATGTGAAATTGTGCACATATGATAAGATCTTACGCAGTTTTTTTCTATTATTGTATATAAGGAATGGTATCCCTTCAAGTATTAGTAAAGTTATTTTAAAGTGTCACTAAACCCACATCAATCACTATGGGATTCGTTTTCTGTATTCTGCAAAAAACCTGGTTGATCCTGCTACTCTCTATCTCCCTCACCTGTCCATGTCCCCAAATCAGCTGTGGGTTTTGCAGATGTAGTGGCAACTCTGCACATGCTCAGTTTTCAGTGGGTTTCTATGCAGAGCATTTCCTCCCTATCACATCTGAGCAGCCCATATGACTATAGAGTAACATGTGTGGGCATATACATTCTGGTAAATGACAGCCCACTCTCTTCCTCCTCCTCCATGCCCACTAACCAGCTAAACACAATGGGGGCGGGATATTACATGTAGATTAATGGAGGAATCACCTCCTTCCAGGGGCGGACTGACAACTCATGGGGCCCCCGGGCAATAGGGGATCATGGGGCCCCTGTGTCCTTGCCCAAACTCAAAAAAGCCTATGAAAAAGGTACCAGGGGCATCTCATGGGGCCCCCTACTGACCCCGGGCCCTTGGGCAGTGCCCGAGTTTCCAAATGGTCAGTCTGCCCTCTCCATGTTAATAAATAATAATAAAGATTTGATTCCAAATATATATTTGTATGCTGATTTACAAAAATTTCCTGATATTATTTATGTATTTATTGTTACTTGAGGACTAGAAGCACTTCCTGCTTATGTTTCCCTGCAGACAGGCTTGAAAAGAGCTGGGTCATGTGACAGATGTATATCAATTAGGAAAAGGTACTTAGATGTGTTTTTTAAAATAAAATAATTACAGTGGCAACATCCATATGTAAATTTAACTGTGTGTGTTTTATATCACTTTATTGGTTGTGTTGTACTTAACAAGTCATGGCTGAAAATTGAACATCTCTTACCAATATAGTCAAACGAATAACCTTTATACATTGTCTATAGGTTTATACACAGCATGATTTATTGATAACACAAAGATTTTGTTTTGTTTGGGTTTGGGCATCAAATCAAAAGGTTAATAGTACTTTTGTTAGAAAAGAGTAATTGCATATCACAAAAGTGATTCAAGTAGAGGCCCTCTGTGCATATGAGGCCTAGGGCTGTTGCTCTTTTTGACCTATTCTAAAAGTGTCACTGGAAATAAAAGGAGCTGTTGGAACACTCCACACAGGCTTAGCACAAGCTCTCCTAATGCTGGGCTTCAGGCTGCCCAGAGGCCTAGTAGTCTTATGTGTTTCAGTAGAGCTTTCATTAGCAGAGTAAGGAGGGAGTAGCTAAGAGCCCAGCATAAGCTGTCATTGATCCACTTTCACAAAGTGCAAAGATGTGCAGCTTTCTAGTCACAGGCCATTCAGCTTCTGAGCAGCTTCATTTGACACCGCTGACAGCCCCATACTACAGAACTGGTCAAAAAAAGCTGAAATAATTCCCTTAGCTATTGGTTTCCTTGCTAACGACGACAAGAATTCCCCTCGGACATGGCTTGACTGGAAACATTAGCACTTGTTCTCAGGTCTTGTTGACATGAAATTCTTTCAATAGATAACAGGACGGGAGAATGCTCTCACCCAAGCATGGCGATATTATCTTAACCGCCTTGTTGGGTGAAAATGTGATTTATTGACAAACAAAATGCTGCTGTGCTTTTCAAGCTGTGTGTAATTAGTCACCATTTCTAATGTACTGTGCTCCTCTGCAGCAAAGCATGCCAGTCAGTGATAGAAGTATTCACCTCACATGGCATTGATCCGTCAGCTTGCATTTTCATCCATAACCGCTATTCCCAGTAATTGAGTCTGTAAGACTGCAGGACAGGTTAGATAGCTTTTAAGGTACAACAGTTAATGTAATTCTACTACCTGCAAATATTTTTTTCAGCATTGCCTCCTACATTACCTGCATTTAATGAAATATTTGAAGATGGTCAGATTCTGTGCAATGCTGATTTTTGCTGAGTTTTGCTAATTGTAAAATGAAAGAACACCCTGAGATGATATAACCAAATATGCCGTGGAAGGTATGACAGTATATTTTGTCTGCTTATTATATAAACATATGGAGTTGCAAAAGGAAGTAAGGACCAAAGCAACTTCATTCCATGCTTGGAAGAGTATTGTCCCTTATTCCTTGCTAAAACATAAGCTCAGCAATGCAGAATTCAGCTAGGATGAGAATTTTCACCAAGTAATCCCAAACTCCACCATGAGGAGAGGATGTGTGGGCAAGATTGTGGATGCTGCGCTCATACACTGTGAGGTTCAAGGCAGCATTGTGCCCATAACATCTTGCTCCACCGTAGAAAAGATAAGAGTTACATACATAGCTTATTGGAACCCAAGACGGTTAAGCTGGACATATATGGATGGAAACTAAGCTGGTTCAGCAGAGAACAGCAGAATTTCAATCCATGTATGGACAGACTGGTTGTACACAAGTCGATCTATCCATAGACTTGTGTACAACCAGCCTGTTGTTTTTTTGCTGAACATTCAGTACCACTGGCTGTAGCTGACAAAACCAATGATTGTATTCTGATGGTGGCGAAGGCTCCCCACTGTCAGGACACATTAGAACAGTGGGATTGGTTCCTCCATCCACATCGAGTATGTGGATGGGGGAATCAGATCTTTTTTTTTTTTTGTAATTCAACCCTCTGGTTGAACAAAAAAAAAAGTCAATGTATGGGCTGCTTTAGTAAATGTAGCCATGACATATTGGACCCCCTTAGGGCCACATACTGAAGATTCTTCTCCTGAAACTGACAATGGACAGAATGTACATAAGCTCTGTCAGATCTAAGCTCTTCATTTAATTATTATTATCATTATTATTTTACAGCATTATATAGTGCCAACAGTCTGTGAAGTGTTTTGCAATATAAGAGCAAAGAGTACAGTTACAGTACAATACAAGGGGTTAGAAGGACCCTGCACATAAGAGCTTGCAATCTAATAGGGTGGGGCATATTATGTGAATAGATCTGTTACTTTCATCTGAAATCAATTCCTATCTAATAGTTTCATACTAGTGTTGCAGCATAGCAGGAGCTATGCTAAGAATAGCTACATCACCAGTGTAATAATGGTCTCTTATGGCAATGTCTGATATGTCTGTCTGATATGTTTTTAATTGCAGTGTGTTAATTGAGGCAGTTTGATTAAAAAAAGTATTTCTCTTATGCTGGCGATATACATAATAATAAACACTTGTTTAAATTTTAAACAGATAAAAAGATAAAAAAAAGAAAAGATGGATTTGGTTGGATTTGATCATATTTTCTTCAAGTACCATTCTATTGAATACAGCGTCTCCCCCCTGAACTCAATATTTGGCATTTACAGTGATAAATACCTCAACCCCTGTCCTCTGGACAGATGATTACCTACAGCCACCCCAGACCATTAAGGGGCCACATCCCCCAAACCCACCTACAAGCGCCTAATCATTCACCACTCTTCCTACCCAGAACCACACCTTATCATGTTCTGATGTACTAAAAGGTGATGTGCTCTAAACAAAGTGTGTTTATTCTGGCAGAGTTGTATTCTGACTTGGCAAATGATAATGTGGTGTGTTTTACCACAGTAGCATATCGTGTTTGCAATTTATATGAACTATATGTTAATCACTTGCTTTAAATTGAGACAGGTCACTCCAAAAAAAGTCTCTATGGTAGAGAGAAACTTATAGTGACACTATAAATAAATTTAACACACAACTTTGTAGCACCGTTTCAGCACAGATGGGAAAACATGTCTACACACATGTCTACACCAGAATTTCACTTTAAAAGCATAGGCCATGTTTCATGTTACATTTTTATATTTAACATGATACATGGTCACATTCAACAATCCTTCACCCTCAAACCACCCCCTACATCCCTGAATCATGGAGTCCTTCTCCTCCTTGCACTCATCTATTTTGAATCTAGTGCGGCTGTGCATGGCTCCACTCACACAACTACATCATACATTTTCAGATCTGTTCACACTGATCTGTGAATAGAAAGCCACAAGTACCATTTGCCAGCAGGACATTAGTAACATTGTAACACAGGGGAACGCAGTTCCAGCACCTTCAACACTGAATATATGTAATGACAAGGGGTGCAGGGGTGTGCTGGAGGTCTATTGATGCTGGCGGATTTATTGCCGTGGGGGTATTTGTTGTTGAGGGAGTAGTCTATTGTTGCTAAGGGAGGGTCTTATGTTTCTGGGAGGGATCTACTATTGAGGGAAGGATCTATTGTTGCTGGCAGTTAGGAGATATATTGGTGCTGGTGGGGTCTATTATTCCCGGAGTGGATCTATTATTGTTGTGGGAGTATTTTGTTGCAGAGAGTCTATTGTTTCTGGGGTGATCTATTGTAAGTGGGGGGTTTTTTGTTCCTGGGGGGCTATTTTTGCTGGATGTGGGGAATCTCTTTTACTGCATTTCTTCTTATCATCAAGAAATTTCATTAAATTACTTAGCAAGCATCATAAAACAAAACTTGGTTCTGTTTTCTCTAAAAGGGGGTGGAACCAAGGGACAGTGTTTGGAGGTGGGTAAGGGGCAGAGACAAGGAGGGACTCGGATGAGGGGAGTATCTGCACCTATTTTCTGAGAAAAAAAGCCCTGCTTATAATCCATAGTTTGCTTCATCCAAATAGACCTGGGGCTGGGGTGCAGATTGCAGGAGCTTGTGCATCACACAGGCTTCAATGCAAATGCAATAAATGCACATTTTTTTATTTTAATAAGGTGGGTTCATTTAATAATTTTTGCAAAATGTTTTCAATGCATTTAGGAATGTCTTGGCCCTCTTATTGTTTAGCAAGTTCCAAAAAATAAAATTTCTGTTTTGAAGGAGTATAGGAACACCAAAACAAAACATTTACTGTATCCCTTTGTCCTAAGGCAGGCCATAGATGGGCTGTTTATCGGCCGAATTGTTGGCTGATAAACAAAAAATTGGCCGTTTTCGTGGATTTTCCAGCATGACCGCTAAAAATAAATGAGAAGATCCACAAAAAGCGTCCGACGGGCTGGCCCCACTAACGGTGTGAATATCAGCTGATTTTTCGTGCGGACGAAAATTCGGCCGAATAAACGACCCGTCTATGGCCTGCATAAGGGTTTGCATGTACTAGTTTAATAGTCTGTCCTTGAGATCCAATCCTTTTAGGATTAGCCAGTTGCCTAGCAGTTCCAGCCACTCATTGGCACAG